TCAGAAAGCGACATTTTCGCGTTTTGCGCGAAACTTTCTTCGCTACTTCCAGGTCCACTGATAACCAGCGATGGACCACAGGTTTGCAGCGAAAAAGGTTTCGCGCTGCGAATCGCGAAAAAGTCGCTTTCTGTCCTAGTTAACCACACCCAGTGGTGCCAGCTCGCTGGTTGGCTGAAGTCACTAGAAAAATAGCGCGCTAAAGCTTAGCTTGCTCCAATTACTAAACTATAGTGCATACGCGCGACCATTGCCACTCTGTTCATCTCGAGTGGACAGGGAGGGTCAACGTCATCAGTTGGCTCTACTATCAGGATTGATGCATTGATATTCAATTTAGGTACTTCTACTGCTGTCGGAAACAGTATGGCAGGACACCTCCCCCACTGCAATGATTTCAATACATGATGCCGCTCATACCGTAGAACGAATTCTATTGATGGAAGCAGAATCTTCGAAAGCAATGCTATCTTGATGTTGTCTTGATGCCCTTTGTTTTACGATTGTTGATTGTTCATTAAGTTAATAATCATTTTTATCATAATAATTATTTTTTATTGAGATTTATTTTGTTTTTCCTGTTCTTTACCGTTTTTCTACTTGATATAAGTCGATCTCTTTGTTTCCGTTGATTTTGCAAAAGTTGATACGGGTTTTTCATCGTTTGTGGCCCATCGAAAATAAATATTTTAAAGTAGGTGTTCCTATAGTTATTAGCTGTGCGTGGTTATAAGCCTTTAATATCGGAAGAGCTGCACGGTTGTTCCCATGAAGTAATGTACGGTGTTAAGTGAAATGGCGGATGATAAGGAGTTGAATTCGTTGCTAACGGTGCTCAACAGTGTCATTTTGACCAGAGCGACGAAGGGAGGTGCAAAAATTGTCGACATTAAAAAGGATTATAAGTAGGTCAACCAGATCATTCTGATGCCGTCGGGTAGTTTTCCATCAATATAAAACGATTATTATTAAGAGAATTGTGTGGAAATGAAATTGACACGCGCAGGTTTGGTTTCGATAGGTTGGAGACGCTGCTCTATTCATTTGGCAACAAGTTCCGCTGTCAGGTACGACATTCGGAACGGAGGTGATGACGGCTCCTGAGGCATTTAGTGTTTGCTTTAAGGGAGACAGATGGTTTGGAGAGACGACGAAAGCTGCTGAAAGCATTGTGCAGTCAATGGCAACGGAAAAACCTAAGAAAGGGAGTACGTGGTCTTCTCTGTGTTTGAAGAAACAGCTTATATAATTCAAGACTTATTTTACCTTATAGAAGTGTCCCGTAGACCAACATTCGACCGCGGTCCGCGTGGTGGATTTCGCTCTTCATTCAATCGATCGTTTGTTTTATTCTACTTATTTCTTTTTACATGATTTTAAATCCTTTACTTTAACCCTGGAACTAGAAGCGAGTGAGCGGCAAAAGGCACTATCAGGGTCGGGGCCTTCTTTGCAGGTCGGTTTTCAGTCTGAGTGTGGAGTAGATAGGTATCGATCGCGTGATTGGTACGCATCTACTCCATACTCGAATTGTAACGTATAGCCCTACACTTACCACCGTTATGGGTTGTGCAATCAGATTCCGTTCGTATCGGTTTTCATTAGTCCGGTCTCAGTAATGACAGTTGGGCTTTCTACAACTCTTTGGGATAAGAACTTCTTTAGAGTCTTCAAAAATCTGGTTTGTGTACGAATTATAACGATAATTGAATGCACAGTGAACTTCGAATCGACTGGCGGGGGTAGTGATGTCCAAGGCAGTAATTTGTCGTGCCAGCCGGTTGTAACTGCTATGATCGGTGAATCGCGCTGTGCTCTCGCGTGTGGTGCCTTTGGCATGCTACAAAACTGGTACCTACTGCGAGTTAATCCATTTGCAAATAGAATGCAAATTTATTGGAACATGAAGAAAGCGGTGAAGAAAAGGAGCAGTTATAAAAAATGAATAATAAACAAGCATAAACGGTTTCCTCAGGCATCATTTTCAAATTCTCTTCAGCATTTTCCTTGGATGGGAATCGCAAATTGTTATAGCTGCGACCGCACCATTCAAGTCTGATTCTAACTGACAGAACAGGAGAGCATTGGAACTTGGGTAACTTGAGCGCATGATTCGTCCTTCGCACCACGTCAGCGACAAGTGGGACTCTTAGTGGGACAGCTTCCATCCAATTTCGTTGCTCAGCAAACCCGGTTTTTTCCAAGCGTCATATTCTGACTCATGAAATTGATGATGTGAAAGTGCCACCTAATAAGCGTTCTGGTTTCTCAAATTTCACTCTTTAGAAACTTCGGCCCACCTCGCGGCTTCTCGTTACCTCATCACAATAATCAACCTGCAAGGCCATTGAGCACCAGAAATGATGCGCAACTTCATCACAGGTACAACTGTTTCCTTTATGCTGTGATACACGCTTAAAGGAATCTTGCGCGGAAAAATCATGATTCTATTTCAGCCATAAATCACTGGCTTGAGACTCATTATCCACGATAATAGTGAAAAGAACTGAAGTATTGCTTTCGTTTTGATTAGAAATTCGAAAACTCGAAAGGCTGCTACGCGTTCGAATTGCCCACGGACGTCTTTCACGAATGCTGGCGACGGGGATGCTCAAACTTGGTTCTTGGAGTGCATTCACTAGAAGCTCTTTCTGGCCTTCTGCTTCGTTGCATTCACATCTTACACTTCTACTCCATCCTATTCCATCGATCGATTTGTCTCCACTCTCCGAAATCGCGCGCTTTAACCCGATTCTCTCATTGCGTCGCCTGGTACGTAGCCGGCCAAACGCCGTCTTCTTTCCATGCCTCGCCTGGCTCTGCCTCCTGGTCCTTCGATGGTCCATAACGTGTTTTGTACGCTATTTTCTCTCCAGAACTTCAGCGACAGTGGACTCTCAGGACAGCTTACCATCAATTTTGTTGCTCAGCACCCGTTTATTCCAGATCATATTCTACCATGAAATTTATGATGTGGAAGTCCACCTAATAAGCGTTCTCGTTTCTCAAATTCCACTCTTCAGAAACTTCGGTCCACCCCGCGGCTTCTCGTTACCTCATCACAATAATCAACCTGCAAGGCCATTGAGCACCAGAAATGATGCGCAACTCATGAGCAGTACAGCTTTCCCTTTCTGCTTGCATCACGCTTAAGAATTATTGTTAGTCGTTCTGCCAGAATCCTTACGTAATTTAGCGCCTCGATAGGGCCTCCTCGTTTGGTAACCGAACAAAGCCGTAGTTTGCTAGCTAAACGATGGATGAACGTCCAACGTCTTCGAAAATGGGCAGTGGTGGCAGCAGCACGCAGGTTCCTTCTCGTTTCGGATTTGGGTGAGTTTGTTAATTCGCACAAATTTTTGGAACATTGAAGTTCTTTTATACTTTCCTAGGGAGGAGGGAGGAGTTTAGGTTAACTCCGATTGGGAATCTCTCTCATTTCTGACTCAATTGTATTTATTTCTATATCTTTCTAATTTTTTTCTTCAAGCATTCACTATTGCTTTGTATAACTCCAATTCTGGCTAACCGTGTTCTCCCTACTTTTTCTGCTCGGGGGTGTTAATGAAATCACATGATCCCTGGCCCCACCATCTGACTCCCCACACCCCCAATTGTGATGAAACGGTGCTTGGAAATCGCCCAAGCTATTGCAGATTATCAGTAGATAATACAACGTAATGTTCTTCATTCTCATAGAGTTCTTTGTTTAGAAATACGTCCTACAATATTCCTAGTGAAACCGCGTCTCTCAGAAGTTCGAGTTCATCTTCAACGGATGAAAATAAATCGCGAGGTGAGTAGCTTTTTCATTTCTTGGTTGCGGATCTTATTTGATCCTACACCGAGCGAGGTGGTGAGTGGCAAGGGCATGTATACGGCGCGCGTGGTCCAGGGATCAAAACTGGTTGTGGTCCGGGCCCCAACCAGTCTTTAATTCTGTGGGTCGGCTATTGTTGGTTAATACTCACATTGTAAAGAATTAAAAACCAACTCATATACATCGGCTGCCCGCCCATGATGTAAGGCCACCTCGCTTCCAATCCCGAAAGTGAAGTGACCAATGGAAAGCTTGATCCTTTTAAATTCCCCCCCTTCATTCGATTCTAAGGCTAAAAGCGTTAAGACATAGCACACATAATGGTCGCGGTCGATGTCCATCGGCAATGTTATCCAATCAAGAATTTACGAGGAGCTCAGTGTATCACTGCTTTGGGTACAGCGTTATTTCCCAGATAGCAATATTTGTTTGAAATTGTCGCAGTTGAAATTACTGATTGGAAAGTAGGATTCTCTGAGTGGACCATTTACATCATAGGGTACGCCACAGCATTCTAGTTCATTCAAAGTTGGACCTTGGTGTTGGATAGATTAAGGATAAGCATTTGCCGTTGATCAATCCCTTTTTGGATGCGGCACGCATTCTACTTCCATTTGTACATTCGTAGTGGCGTTTGAATGCGATGTGGCCTATACAATGACTTGCGGGGGCCAGCCGATGTACAAGTCAGTGTTTTTTATCCTCCCAGACAAGTCTGGTACCAATTAACCGACCCCGGAGGGATGGAAGGCTTGGTTGGCCCGGGCGACTCACGACCCAGGATTTGATCCCCGGACCGCTCGCGTGGTAAGCGTGCCACTTGTCACTACACCACTTCCGCCCTACCCCCTATATCTCCATCAATCACTGCAAGTCTAAAAACATGAAAGATGCATGGAATAGGTTTCAAATGTTGGCAATGAGCTTAAGAACTATAGAAGTTATAGTGACAACCCCACATCCAATTGGTGGGATAGCGCAGTCAGTAATAAAAGTGTGAATGCCGCACTGACTGAAAATGCAAAAAGAAGCAAGGCAAACCGCCAATGAAGCCCTTAATAATGTTTCTCCCTCTCCCTCTTGAAATAATGGGGAACGTATCTGGACGAGTTTTCTGAACTTGATTGCTCCACGGCTGCACGTGACCGAGCGTATTTGAATTAGTCGCTATGCCTTTTGCGTATCGTAGGATTTGCGCGCGATTGCTCGTCCATTAGTCCACCTTAGCCGTCATTACCCACTTTGTAAGAACCTAGCGCCATAGTCGCGCACATTCAAGCCGCGAATACGGCAAAACTGTAATCCTCGTGGATTACTCTGTCACCCTAAGATAGCGTTCCACACGAACCTCAACTGCGGTTGTTGCTTTGAGAATGCTACAGGACTTGTTGTTAGCTCAAATCGCTTTGAAAATGTTGTACTAGTGCATCGACAATATTTTTTTTTGCTTCCCGTTCCCCCTTTTGTGTGTTAGCACAGACTGGATTTCAAAATCTATCGAAGCATTGTTGTGTTGCTGTCTACAGGATAGTTCGGCACTTATGAGATGGCGTGAAAGAGAATGTGGTTGTCAAGTGCTTCCGAAAGCGCTATAGGTTTGGATTCAATGCATATACTCTGCTTTTGAGCAAGATGTGTGGCAATTGCTGAAGTGTACCATTATCGTAAGACATGAAGAAAATCACAGTAAACGTTTGCATAGATCATTTCTGGTCCATGACTTTTTGTATTACTGGTTCTCCAGTTGCGAAAAGTTTGCCGAGAAACAGTGAACGTAGCGTAGGACGTGTGGTCGGAATTGTTCACTTTCTCATTATTAAACTGCCTGAACGGCCTCAAGTACGAAACCATTTGTGTAAGGGCACTAACTATTGCTGATGACAGACTGTATCGTCCACACACCTCAACCTCCGAGAATTCCTGAGTTTTTGATTTGGCTCACAATTCAGTTCAGTGGCAACGGAAATATAAAATATGCTTACGAAGTTGGGGGGTACCACGCAATTGTGTAACCCTGTGTTCATCTGAGCTTTCAGTGCTTAGTCTAGGCTTAGAACTAACTTCATCTTAGTCTGCACATTGCCGCTTACAACGTGTACACGAACAGGGTGCCGCGCTGCTGCATGGCTCACTCCAACTACGTTAGCCCCATGATATAAAAATATCTTGTGATTTTAATTCATACCTTAGAACTGCACTCACCTTCGATTTTCATTCCCATTAGCCTATAAGTGCGCCTCTGGTCTATATAAATGGGTGGCCAAAAA